CACACAGAGCCACCATGACCAGCAAAAAATCCTGAAGGTCTTCAAGGGAAATTCGCCTTGATTTGGGAGAGTTGTAGTTCACCTACATCCAGGGCATATTATGAACCCAAACAATGATGGATCTAAGAGCACTCTGAACTCCACCAATGATGGAATTGGACCAAACTTGGGACACAGAGCCACCCTGAACCAGTAAAAAATACTGGAGGTCTTTGGGGAAAATTCACCTTGATTTGGGAGAGTTGTAGTTCACCTACATCCAGAGAATATTATGAACCCAAACAACGATGGATCTGGGCCAAACTTGGCATGCATACCCGATATGCCCAAATTTGAAGACTGGTGGGTATTCAGGAGTTAGGTTCAGAGGAGTGAGGAGTTAGGAGTTGGGAGAGAAGGAAAGGAAAGGTGGCGGAGTGACTTGTGAAGCAAAACTTTGAGGCTTTGAAAAGCTGGGTTTGGCTATTGGAAGTTTCTCAGGCTAGTGCAGCCGAATGGTGAAACATAGCTGGTATTCTTTTAGTCTAAGGAGAGGCTAAAGAATAGTTTACTTAGTATTTGATCTAGGGAGGATCAACTAAGGGAAACATCCCTGTATGGAAACTTTGTCTGAAACAAGTGCTCTACGTCAGAAAGATACTGTGTTACTAGAAAGAATGAACTGTTAAAGTTACAAGTATTATTCCAAGTGCAACAAGGAAAAGTTACGTCTTGCAACCACACGCTGTGTACTTAATAAAATTGTTAACTTTTATTTGAAGATTGCCTCAGCTCCGTCTATTCTGTGTACCAAGTGCCATTTCTCACAATATTACAACTTACCTCACGTGGTGGCAGAAACGTAGGGAAAAGTAACCAAATAAATCTACATTCTTCTCTCCAGTCACGCTACAGTATATACAGTGTAATTACTACTAAGTTATTACTTTCTTAATAAAGGAGGAGGAGCAATTAAACAGCCTCCCTTCTAACTTGATGGTAAATTTGGTTCCTAATCGGCAACCTCCATTGCAAATCGGCTAAGTCTTTTTAAAATTGGGAACTGGGGTAAAATCTCCTGAATACTGGTTCCTTTCAAATTGGTGGCAACAATAAATCATCCCTCAGCTCCCCTTCTTCTTTTCAGTGGGTTTCCAGATGTTCTGGAACAACAACTCCCATCACTTTTGATGACACTATTTAGCATTATTTTTGTTCCTGGGTTATAAATGTAATTTCCTAATTCCATCATTTAAAAATGGGGAAAGTTTATGAGGAGGGACATCCTGCAGGAGATTTGGCTGTAGTTTTTCAATAAATATCCCATCGAGTCTCAAACAATTCATCCTAGTTTGTGGCGGCCACCAAAATGAAGTTTCTGAAGTAGAACAACTACTTCCAAACAATTACACAGGAAATAACACATTTAAATCAGGAATATAAATGTTTTCTAATGGGTTCGACACCACTTCACTGGAGTCCTTTCCGTGCCGGGACTTACTCTGTTCGCATCCATGGCCAGAGAATCCAGGAGGGCAGCCGCATTCGCCCGTGATGTGGTTGCAAGGTGTTCCGGGAGGGCAGTCGCAGATGGCAGTGCAGTCCTTCCCAAAGGTGCCAGGCAGGCAGGCTGTCAGGAAGAGAACGGAAAAGGAAATTTGAAGACAGCCTGGATGAAGCGCAACCATGCCTTTCTCCCTTAAGACAGAGTTTTAATGTGACGGGGTTCGGAATAGTGGGTTCAAATTATGGGAAAGGACATTAGGAGGTAGTATGTTAAACCACTCCTTCGGTGAGTTCTTCCTAATGTCCTTTTCTGTAATTTGAACCCACTGCTCCAAACTCCATCACATTCCTTACTTTCAAAGTAAAGACTGCACAATTAAACAGGAATAACACTTTCAAATCAGGAGCAGAACTGTTTTGTTTTCTTTCAAATGGTTTTATCTATAAAAATGTAATGTTTGTTTGTGGGATTAACAGAACTCAAAAACCAGTGGGCCAATTGACACCAAATTTGAACAGCATACACCTAACAACCCAATGTATGTCCATCGCTCAAACATTTTTGATTTTGTCATTTGGGAGTTGTAGTTGCTGGGATTTATAGTTCACCTACAATCAAAGAGCATTCTGAACTCCACCAATTATGGAATTGAACCAAACGTGCCATACAGGACTCCCATGACAGAAAACACTAGAAGGGTTTGATGAGCATTGACCTTGAGTTTGGGAGTTGTAGTTCACCTACATCCAGAAAGCACTGTGGACTCAAACAATTATGGATCTGCACCAAATTTGGCACAAATATTCCATATGCCCAAGTATGAACACAGATAGAGTTTGGGGGAAATAGACCTTGACATTGGGGAGTTGTGGTTACTGGGATTTATAGTTCACCTACAGTCAAAAAGCATTCTGAGCCCCACCAATGATGGAATTGAACCAAACTTGGCACACAGAACTCCCATGACCAACGGAAAATACGAGGGGTATTTTTTAAGTAAGGTCCGTTTGAACATAAGTACACAACGAAAGTTTATTTCAAAAAAGTAAATTTATTTTCAGAAAGTACATACTTCACTCTATTTTTTGACATAGTTGCCAAGTTTGTTCAAACACTTAACATACCTCTGAACCAATTTTAAAATACCCTCTTCATAAAAACTTGCCTCCTGCTGAAGCCACCAAATCGTCTGTAATCAAAGAAGGGCGACCGGAGCGGTCCTCATTATGGATGTTGTCATGGCCATCTTTGAATTGTCGTACCCACTTATGCACTTTGCTTTCACTCATAACAGTATCACCGTACACTTCACAAATCTGTCGATGAATTTCTGCAGCAGGCAGGTTCCTTGCTGACAAAAACAGTATCACTGAGCGAACCTCACATGCGGCGGGTGAGCTGATAGTCTTAAACATTTTTAAAGCACAGAACAGAACCGTACAGGTTAGCTCAGGAACAACTGAGCACAGTTGTTCCCAAGGCATGCCGGTACACGACACACATGCTTGTTGCAGTATGCGCGTGAACTACTAGTGTCTACAACAAAACGGACCTTACTTAAAAAATACCTGTGACGATGTGTAAATTTTATTCCTTTGGTTATGTGTAATTTAAATAGTGGTTTAAGGATGGTAAGTATGTAGGATTGTGTTTTGTTGGAGATGGTGGCTTGGCGTTGGCTGAGTTGCCATAGCAACAGGGGCGGAGCCAACTGCCTCTTCATGGGGCAGCTGTTTTTGGAAGTCAGTCAGTAAGCCGGTGAGCTACTGGGTAGACTGAGTCCCTGGGTGGAGATTCAGGGAATGTGTCTGTAGCCGGTGTGCTATAGGGAAGACTGAGTCTCTGGGTGGAGATTCAGGGAATGTGTCTGTAGCCAGTGTGCTATAGGGAATTCTGTTAAATAAGCCTTTTAGCTTATTTGTTATATTAGGACAGTTGTCCAGAAGGGTTACATCTGCTTATAGAAACCTCTTGAAGTCTGTGCCTGAGATTACTCATGAAACCTTACTAATTTATTTATTTATTTAATACACTTGTATACCGCTAATATCTCAGCCTAAATCGGCGACTCATTGCGGTTTACAACAATTAAAAACAATATACAATTTAAAACAACAACACGTAAACAATACAAATTATTGGGCCACCAATAATAATACCATGCTTCTCGTCACAAAAATCACAGTCCAGAGTTCGTCATCCATAGTTAACCAGTCCTTAGTCTATAAATTCAATAGTAACAACTAATTGAATGCTTGTTTACACAACCATGTTTTTAATCTCTTCCGAAAGACCATCAGCGAAGAGGCTGATCGTATCTCTATAGGGAGGGTGTTCCAAAGCCGAGGGGCCACCACAGAGAAGGCCCTGTCTCTCGTTCCCGCCAGCCGCACTTGGGAAGCCGGTGGGATAGAGAGCAGGGACTCTCCAGAAGATCTTAGGGTCCTGGTGGGCTGATAGGCTGAGATACGTTCGGATAGATAAGTTGGGCCAGAACCGTTTAGGGCTTTAAAGGCCAAAACCAGCAGATGAAACTAATGTAACCATTCATATAATAATTAACAGTTTTGTTGTTGTTCATTCGTTCAGTCGTCTCCGACTCTTCGTGACCTCATGGACCAGCTCACGCCAGAGCTCCCTGTCGGCCGTCACCACCCCCAGCTCCTTCAAGGTCAGTCCAGTCACTTCAAGGATGCCATCCATCCATCTTGCCCTTGGTCGGCCCCTCTTCCTTTTTCCTTCCATTTTCCCCAGCATCATTGTCTTCTCTAAGCTTTCCTGTCTTCTCATTATGTGACCAAAGTACTTCATCTTTGCCTCTAATACCTTTCCCTCCACTGAGCAGTCGAGCTTTATTTCCTAAAGTATGGACTGGTTGGATCTTCTTGCAGTCCAAGGCACTCTCAGAACTTTCCTCCAACACCACAGCTCAAAAGCATCGATCTGTTAAAATAAACTTGTTACTGTTTTCCTCAAGCCTTGCCTGATACAGTTTCTCTCAAGGCAAACAGCCTGCATAAGAAGTAAAGTCAAGCCAGGGACAGTAAACGCTGCGCTATCAGATGAATAAAGCCTTCTGTAATTAATAGTCCCTTTATAAAATAGCTCCTAATCTGATATTGATCGTTGCCCGGCTTTCCTCACACATTTGGTGGCAGTAAGCTTTAACCACGCTCCTTCACAAATTGGTGGCATTCGGTGGCATTAAAACGGCCTTCTTCACAATTGGTGGCAGCGGTGGGATTAAAACGGTCATCTTCACAAGAGGCACAAATCTTGATGGTTACATTAGAAAGGTTTCACGAGTAATCTCAGGCACAGACTTCAAAACGTTTCAATACCCCTCGTACTTAAGGCCATCCAGTACAACTCCCTTCACCAGGGCAAGAAAACATAAACAAAGTTCTCCTGACAAAGAGCCACCCAGTCTAAGATATAGAGATATATATGATTCACACACACACACACACAGATATAGTATCATAGATTTGAAAGGGAACCCTAAAGAAGGACAATAATATGTCCCATGTTCCAGAGCAGGCAAACCAGACAATCTCTACATCAACACTGACAAAGAAACAACAAGAAATATCCACAAGCAGAAAGACATTACATATATATCAGAAAACAACACTTTCTCATTACTTTATTTTCAAGATCACTAGACTGGGCCACAGCAACGCATGGCAGGGGATGGCTAGTATTTTATAATAATTATCAGCTACTATCTGTCAGCAGCATATGATACCGTAAATCATCACCTTCTCCTGAGAAAAATTGATAATATCACAAAGGACTGCCACCTCGCCTGCTTCATAGGAAATCTACTACAAAACAGGAGCTTTTTTGTTGAGGTCCAGGGCCAGAGAAGCAGACGGCGGAAACAGAAGAACGGCCTGCCTCAGGGGATCATGCTTGCGCCATCCATGTTTAACATTTACACAAATGATCAGCCACTGCCAGAAGGGACCAAGAGTTTAATCTATGCTGATGATCATGCCATCACTGCTCAAATATGGAGCTTTGAAATAGTTGAACAGAAGCTCTCTGAAGCTTTAGTGGCTCTTACTGCCTATTACGGGGAAATCAGTTCATCCATCTAAAATACAGATGTGTGATTTCATCTTAAGAACAGACAAGCATCCCGAGTCCTGAGGATTATTTGATAAGGAATCCCACTGGAGCATTGCAGCACACCAAAACACCTGGGAGTCACTTTGGACTGTGCACTGACTTACAAGAAGCACTGCATGTCAAGCAAAAAAGTGGGTGCTAGAAATAACATCATATGAAAGCTGACTGGCACAGCCTGGGGATCACAACCAGACACATTGAAGACACTGCCCTTGCGCTTTGCTACTCTGCTGCTGAATTTGTACACCCAGTGTGGAATACATCTCACCATGTTAAAACAGTGGATGTGGCTCTTAATGAGACATGCTGGATTATTACAGGATGTCTATTGTACCAACGGATATCCTCCGGGAAGTAGCAGCCAGTAATGAAAGGACCAAGGCAGTGACATCTCCGGCCCATCCTCTGTTTGGGTGTAGAAGAGCAAACCACAGACCACTGACTACAATGCATTCTGAGCCCTGCCACATGCACAATGGAGGACACAGAAACACCAGAGGTACACCAGTGGCCAGCTTCTGGTCAAAGGACATTTAGCATAATGCCAAGTTTTTAACTATGTTTGTGGTTTTTTAAATACACTAGCTGTGCTCTGCCACGCATTGCTGTGGCCCAGTCTGTTGATCTGGAAAATGAAGTAATGAGAAAGTGTTGGTTTCTAATATATGCAATTCCTTTCTGCTTGTAAGTAAACAGTATTTCTTGTTGTTTCTTTGTCAGTGTTGATGTGGAGAGTGTCTGGTTTGCCTACTCTGGAACATGCAACATATCATAGTCCTTTAAGGGTCTCTTTCAAACCTATATTATATCAGTGTGTGTGTGAGAGAGAATCATATCTTATCTATATTTATGACTGGATGGCTCTCTGTCAGGAGGGCTCTGATTACATTTTCTTGCCCTAGTGAAGAGAATTGGACTGGATGGCCTTAAGTATTTTCTGTTGATCATGGGGGTTCTGTGTGGGAAGTTTGCCCCATTTCTGTCGTTTGTGGGTTTCAGAATGCTCTTTAATTGTAGTGAACTATAAATCCCAGTAACTACAAATCCCAAATGTCAAGGACTATTCACATTTGGGCATATTGAGTACTCGTGCCAGGTTTGGTCCAGATCCATCATTGTTTGAGTCCACAATGCTCTCTGGATGTAGGTGAACTACAACTCC